CAGGGGTGGCCAACCCGCGGGCCGCATGTGGCCCGCCTTGAACATTTTTCCGGCCCGCGAGATTCATCACACTTTTACCAAATATATTTATTTTATAATGGCCAAAGTAGTGAAAACCAATGTATTAAAAAAATGCATTATTTGTGCATCCATATATTCAAAAATTATCTGTCGAAATTATGAGAAAAAATTAACTTTGATTTTAAAATAATATTCTTGCGAATATATGACAGATATTGCCTGTTTTATTCATTATTATTATATTATCTATGTTTACATGTAAGAATAATAGTAAACACAATAATAATAACTCATTATGTTTCAATTTTTCACTCCAAAAAAATGTCTATAGTGTATCTAAATCTAATATGGGGATATATAATTTTATATGTGGCCCGCGGAGTTATGATGCATTTCCAAAGTGGCCCGAAAGATCATTTGGGTTGGCCACCCCTGTCTTACACAGTCAGTGATTTAACAGAAAACTCCTCAGTGACTTGGCAAATAATTTATTTAAAATACAGCACGTAGTCAAAGAAATTAAGCTTTGTAAAGGCTTATTAAAAATGTTGGTCACCCGAAGAACATAAAAGTTTCCTCATAAATGTTGGAACTTGACTTTAAAACAATCCTGCAACTCTAGCACAAGGGTTCCATACTTCGAAAACATGACTTTACCGAGGTGAATAAACATATATTGTGTGATATGACACTGTCAACACGCCTTATTTATTACAAATATAATAAGTGTTTCGGCCTGATAGGCCATCTTCAGGTGCATTTCTTAGTACTGAACGGTTATGCAACGATCAAGTCTCAGTTACCTGTTCTCTGAATCCAGATTATTATTTACTGTGATAAAAGCGTCGTATATACAATGTTAATTTTGTTAATATTATGCAATAAGATGACAATATCTAATTAAACCTGAATTTTAACTCCAAAAAGATGTATATACATTCAATAATCCGTTTTTATCGCCGTTTGTCAGGAGATGAGGACATTAACAAGACGGGCATCACGACATTAACATCGTGGTGTCAGGGCCTATCTTGTCAACCAACACTTTACCCCACCGATGGATAGGACGCAGAGGATCTGTTGATCCCCCGCCCCCAACCACGATCACCAGATTTAACCCCACCCGATATTTTCTTGTGGGGTTATTTGAAGGACGCGGTGTACAGCACAAAGTCAGCAACACTTCGAGAATTCGGGCATGAAATTGAACGGCCTTGTACAGCCGTCCCCGTAGCTTGTCAGTCACTTGTCACCGCTGTCAACTGTGCCACGAAGCTGACGGTGGTCATTTCGAAAACCTACACAATATTCGCTAATTCACCAAGTGCCAATGCTGGCGTATGTAATGGGTTAGTTTACTAAAACGTCTTTACTTCGTTCAATTGAATGCGTGTATACATTTTTTGGGAGACACTTTTTGTGTTTATTAATTCACTGCTCATTACGCCAGGGTGCGTATAGACCTTCGTGGACACTTCCAAGGATGATTAAATGTTTTGTAGTATTTGCTGTGGACATCAAGTCGTGCCGTCGAGATCAGAGTTCTATTCTGGATGCTCAGCTCGCTTAAGACAGTTTGAATTTAGATATCT